AACATGAAACGTTAGAGAAGGGCCAATTTGATGCCTCCGTATAGTTTAGGGGTTTATATGATGCCTTTTTTGTTTGAGGGCTTAAAACCTACAACCTTACAAGTTCGAGGGCTTAACATTAGTTTCAGCCTACAATTCAAAGATACAACTGCTAATATTTTTCTACCAAGAGAAATCTCACTCTCTCTAGGTCAATTCATCACGTAGGTGGTGGCAAATAGACAAAAACGTATACATAGTCCCAAAATAAACAACAATGAAGAAAGAAAAGAAGAATATTGAACATTAATGAGAGCCATCACTGGAACCACATGTATTTCGGTTTATGAAAAATTGGAAAATTTAATTTCATTTTGGCTGAAATGGTATTGACAAGTCTTAAATAATTTGGTTCAGATCAAAACCATGCAAAAGAGCACCAATGAAGATTGCATAAAATATATTCATTTAACTTCACCAATTTATCGAAACTATGCATCCTTAAGTTCCTCAATCTATAAATCAATCGCCTAAGAAGTTTCAAAAACATGAATTCTTAACTTTGTTTATATCAGCTTAATACATGCCACTTTTGAAAAATTTGAGGATTCTGCAGTATACTACACAGCTGAAGGACATGGAAATAAAGAAGTAACATTCTCAAGAAAACAGAAAATAGAATAGCAAATCTCAAGCTAACAGTCAACTAAATGTTGAATCATGTGACAGATACTAATATTGAAAGCAAAAAAAAAAAAAAAAAAAAAAATTTTTTTAAAAAAAATATAAAGGAGAGCGGAAGAGGAGATTATAGATGGCAACAAACTTACATAAGACAATCCACCGTATGATTTTAAAAGCTCAATCATGTTTGGTTTTTTAGCTCCTTCTGCATCAGCTAGAGGCTGTCATGATAGAAGTTTCAGCTCAGGCAACGAACTAGTTAAGATTGATTCCAAATGAAAAAAAGTTGATAAATTATACGCCATGAAAATAAAGCAGGCACTTAAGTTGAGAATGCAAATTTATGATTTGAAACTTGCTCCTTTTCTGAAAATGAAACATAATACAGACAAAACAAAACCCAGCAGGAAAACAGTAGAAGTGCAAATTAATACTGTAGATAACTACAAAACCCAATCCACTTCCAGGAAATATATCAAATAATGGTCAAAACAACAAAGAAAGGCTATATAAGAAGCTGAGAATTGCGTAACAAAACCGAATCATAAAATGAAAACAAAGCAGTAATGAACTTGACCTGCCCTCTCATGAAAACAAAAACGTGCCTTCTACGAAATCTGCAACCAAAGGCCAAAACTAAAGACTATAACATACGTTTACTTTCAATGCCTGAAAAAACCCTTTATTTCCATAACTTATTATCAGAATGAGCATGATCTTGTGTCTTACACCATACACTCAAAACTCGATGAAAATTAACAATGACATAAGAACAGCATAAATAATAGAAATTAACAAGTCCAGATATAAGCCTAGAAAGTCAAAGAAAACGGTACCGTGTTCTTCCAGCGGTCCTGGGCGTTGACATCGGCACCAAACTCAATCAGGCACTTGGCAACGTCGATCCATCCATGGAGAGACGCCACATGGAGAGGCGTGCGGTTGTCGTAGTCCCTGGCATGGACGAGATACGGATCTTCGTCCAGGAGCTTGCGGACTGCAGTAGCGTCATTCTGGTGAGCGTGCCACAGGATGAGCGAGGTCCTGCTGACCCTAGCCTTTTCATTCTGCTTGTCATCGGACGATGGCGTTGGAGATCCCTTGGTGGCGGATCCCGTGCCCGGAACCTCACCGCCTGCGGATGAGCCGGAACTCATGGTAGGAGATAGATCAGATCCAATTGAGAAGAGAAATAAGGGGACGTAGCTGTGTGTGCTTGTAACAGAGTTAGTTGGAAAGAGGAGCGAAAATGCGTGAGCCTGTACTGTATCCGTTAACGCTTTTACTTTTTCAATTAATCCAGATATTAAAATAAGAGTGAT